TGATATTTCTTGATTGAATTTGATCTTTCAGTTTTAAACTGGAATCATTGCGCAATTACATAATGATCCATCACACACTTCAAAGTTCAATATAGCTTTATCATTGTATACTTGATCCACCTCCACATACTTATAAGATTGATCCGAAATTACCACACTATAGTTCCTTGATTCACTACAAAAAAACTGCTAAATTATGGCGGTTTATTTATAGGGGTCTTAAGAAACCCCACTACACATTCAATTTGTGGCGTTTGTGTCAATCCCCACAAAATAATTCCTTTTGTGGTGGCTTAAGTGTGGAGGTTGTAAAAGACCCCTGCTATACATTCAATTTGTGGCGTTTGTTTCAACCTCCAGAAAATCATTCTTGTTGTGGCGATTTTTTTGTGCAGGTTTTGTACTACAAAAGAATGAAACGATCTCGATAATTTATTTTTAGTATGACGGTGGTTTATAACCACCACAACGAGCATAAAACGGCGGTTTTTTATGCCGCCAAAATCCCTTCTATTATTAATACTATTATAGCGGTTTCAAAAAACCGCCATAAAATGCTACAAGTTGATAATGACTTTTAAAATTTGTATTACGATAGTTTCAAACCGCCATAAAATTCACATTTTATATAATTATAATTGTAAAAAACAATATTTTGGTAGTTTCAACATATGCAATATTTGGTCATGTAATACAACTTACTAAAATAATTCCTTACACCAAAATAAATCATACACTATAAATATCTAAACAATGACCTGAAGCAGGGAACGTACCAATAACTAAAATATATGTATCCCAAAATTACATCTAGATTCAAGTAAGAGTTTTAAACTATTCATCAACAATACAAAAAGTAGTTTCGATACTAATGATGATACTAACTGACACTCGCTCTATCTCCATTGGTACCTCTATCATAGGATCTTCTTAGTCCATAATTGGTAAAGAAACGCTTTATAAATCTTGTGTCTGTCAAAGAAATTAAGAAATAAGTCGTATAATGATAAATATTATAAAAGAAAATTCATTGAAGGAAGATTGTCATGTGTGCTCATTGAAATATGCATGTGTACAGAAGAATAACAAAAACATTTTCTTCCAATTTCAATCAGTTTCAGCAAAACATTTGTTGCACATTTTAACACCACAACTTCAATTTACAACACAAAATGACGGGATGTTTCATCCCATTGAGCTCTTCATTTCAGCACAATAAAAAAACAACATTCATAATGAAAGATTCCAACTGATTGAGCTCTTCATTTCAGCACAAACTGGCTACATATTTTAGTTCCAGTCAAAGACAAAATTACAAAATAATTGATGATTTCAGCACATTGAGCAAACCAATTCAACATAAAATGACTATAGCTAATCGAATTACCTTATGCTTTCTCTAGCTCATCTATTCAACAAAAGAGCTTAAAATATATAATGAAGATAAAATAAGTACTTGCACTGTAGAGTCAGAAATAAATGATCAAACACATGTGGGATATTCCTTATGTTTATTCAATATAAGCTTGTTAGCGTATTTAATTGTAATCTCATATATGTCATCTCTTATTTCCATCATGGACGTGGAGTGCTAGAGCACTATAGACCCCATACAAAAAAAATGACCATCTTGCCTTGATGTTTGATTGAACGCCACTTTAGTTTATGATCATGCCCATCAAGTTTCTGGTAAGTCTCCTCACATAAACTGGTGTCATTCACACACTAGATTGTCTAGCCATATGATGAAACTATTCACTAAATAGGGTCATAATAATAATCAGATTTCTATATTGGGGTTGTTGATGAGATTGCAGCCACCAACATTACAGATGATACTTGTAGAAGTTTCAGAGGCAAGCATCATTACCTCTTCCACTGATCCTGAATTGGCAGATGGAGAAACAGAGGAAGAAAGCAATGTTAAAGTGCGACTTTACAAGTTGAATATCTATTGGTATTCTAGTTCTACTATCTATGAGTAAAAGAAAATCAATTTCTTGTTTGTAGTAAGAGCTTCTCAAAGACATTGAGTATAGGGATAACATAACTTGCTTTTACTTCTGGATGCATAATAGGAGAAAATGAATTTGGACCTTAGATACAGAAGAAAATTAAATCAACCTAGAGATATTGTACAGTAGGGATCAAAGAACATTGAAGCAGATTGCAAGTTGATTCAGAGAAATCATGACAATAAATGAGGTAACACCTCTTGATCATAATCATCCAGTATTTTATCTACAACCTTCTGATGCTCCAGGCACAGTTTTAGTACCAATAAAACTCACAGGGCCAGAAAACTATGACATGTGGAGTAGATCGATGAAATTATCTCGAAAGGTAAACTAGGTTTTGTTGAAGGAACCTGCATCAAAATTAATTACAAGGGAGATTTAGCAGAACAATGGGAAAAATGCAACGCGATAGTGCTTTCATAGATTGGAAGCACAATTGCAAACGAATAGATACCAGTAACTATGTACGCAACAAGTGCTAAGACGATATGGCTAGACTTCATAGAGATATTTGATAGAACAAATTTAACTAGAATGTACAATCTCTGGACAGAAATTGCGACCTTAAGACAAGGAATAGACACGGTGACTACATGTTATTTGAGGATGAAGGATCTATGGGATGAAGTTGATGTATCAGTGCCCTTACCAGCTTGTGATTGCTCAGAATCAGCTCCTTACGTTGAACACTTGAAGTCACAACGCCTTTTACGTATTAAGGGTAAATAAATTGTACTTAAGTATGTCTTACCAAACAAATTATTTCTATTTTTCTATTTATATAATAGTAATAGTAAAAATAAAAGAGAGGAAAAAGTAAGAAAACTTCCATATTATTTTTTATTTCCCTCCCTTTTAACCTAGTAAATCATATTTGCGATTTTATTCCCTCCATATTCCCACCTTCAGCGCCATATTCCCACCTTCCCCTCCATGTTTCCACTTTCCCCTGTTCTCCCCTTTTCTTGGTGAAACCTTCCCTTTCCAGAGCTATAAATTCCCAGATAGTTCCTTTGGGAGAGATGGAATTCAGATTATCGATCAACATAAGGTAAGATTTTTTGTTGTACTCAAATTCTTCTAAGTTTGTGTTTTATCCTCATCGATATGATTGTTGGACAAACGTTTGTGCTTTATAATTTGGATGTAAATGTGTATTTTATTTCATTCATTGTTAAGTTTTATCAGTATTAAGACATAGTTATCAGTATTGAGACATACTGTAGTTTTCAATTCTCTGTGCATTATAGTACATTTTCTCTACCAACTACTTGGTTATTACTGTATCATCTCATCATATTCCTTCATATTTGATTCACCTCTCTTTTTTCTAAATGAAAATACAGCCATGCCAAAGGTGAAACATTTCAAGAATCCACTAAAGGTTGCTAATGGACGTGCTTCATCATCAACTACTCCAGCGGCACAAGCCCTCCCAGATGCTTCAACAATTCCCTCGCAGGCTCATGAAGAACAAGCTCTGATTCTCCTACAAGAAGAACAAGCTTCAATTCCACCGCAACAAGAACAAGCTCCAATTCTACCGCAACAAGAACAAGTTCACGTTCTGCCTTCTAATTCAAGTGTACCCCTTATGAACCAACGTATATATTCAAAATATTGGAATGTAGACGCAAGAGGTATGCTTTATAGAATTTTTACTTCAAGCTATGGTATCTTAGTCTTTTTCCTTTTTGGTTGAGTAACTTGTTTTCTTGTAAAGACTCAGAAAATGCTATCAAGCAAATTCATGTCAAGGCCAATGAGGTTAATAACCTAACTGTTGGAGAGCGCATTATTGTGGTGTTTTATGGGTCATCGATGTTTTCTGAGAAGAAATCACAGGTTTAGATTAAGTCGAGTACGCTTTAATGGAAGCACAGAGGAGAGGAATACACCATTAAAATTATCAGGTTCTAACATTTTGAGACAAATTACTGAAGGGAGATGAGTAGAGTTGGATGGTAGAAGGAAAAGATCTAGACAAGCAACTAAACAATGGAACAAGAGAAGTATATTCTTTGAACTTCCATATTGGGAGTCCAACTTATTGCGTCATAATCTAGATTTTATGCATATTGAAAAAAATATATGTGACAATATCATATATACGTTGCTGGATGATAAATCAAAGTCAAAAGATAATGCTAATGCTCGCAAAGATCTAAGAGAAAAGAGAATAAGGCCTGATCTTTGGCTGAAGGATGATGAATCATATAACCTAGCTGTGTTTTCACTTATGACTGATAACAAAAAGTAGGTGGACACCAAAAAGTTGTTTCTTACAACTTTGAAGAATATTAAAGTACCAGATGGCTACTCAAGTAACATTTCCAGATGCGTTGATCTTGCACAGAAAAAAATTTCAGGGTTGAAAAGTCATGATAGTCATGTTCTTTTAGAGCAATTACTACCATTGGCAATTCGCAATGTGTTGCCAGATCACGTAGTTACAGTTTTGGTGGAATTTTTCTCATTTTTCAGAGCCCTATCTAGCAAAACTTTAAATCCTTCAGAGCTTGATATTCTCCAGGAGCGCTTTATAATCACACTTTGTCACTTAGAGATGTTATTTCCTCCATCATTTTTTACTGTAATGGTTCATTTATCAGTTCATCTAGTAGATGAAGCAAAACTCGGAGGTCCAGTGCATTACCGAAACATGTATCCTATGGAGAGGTAAAATATTAACATTTTTCTAATTTAAAGTTATGTGTTTTCTGGAAATACTAACATTTATAATTTATAGATATTTATGTTCTGGTCACCTTAAATAGTATGTACACTTACTGTATATTAATTTTCTAGGGAATTAGGTTATTGTAAGCCCTATATACGGAATAAATCACAACCAGAGGGTTGTATAGCTGAGGGTCATATAGCTGAAAAGACTCTTACCTTTTGTTCTTGGTATATTGAGGATATTGAGACAAGGTTCAACAGACCTAGGCGTGTTCATGATGAACCAACTGATATGCCTGCTAGAATGTCATCTCTCTTTCCTCAATTGGGTAAACCTACATCAGCTTCAGAAAACTTCCCTTTAAATCCTATGCAGAAACTACAAGCTCATCGATATGTTCTTCTGAATTGTGCAATAGTCATGCCATTTGTGGAGTGAGTAACTATTACAAACTTTATGTTCTTTGTCTTTGTAATGTTTGAAGTAGGCTAATCATACTCTTTAACATTAACTTAATAATTTCATATAGCGAATTTAGAGAATACATAAAGAGGAGTTCAAGGGGAAGAAGACCTTCACCTACAGAGATAGAGAGGAGAGTTAATAAACAGTTTGTTGATTGGTTTCAAAAGCGGGTGAGTAAGCAATCGTTATTTATTGTTTATATTTGATTTGAATGAACAAATTTGACGAAGTCCATTTTATTTTGATTTAGATTATGAATCAAGACACAATAGATACAATGTCTATCGATCTAAAGTTTTTAGCACGAGGTCCATCTGTAAATACAAGAAAATTTACTGCATATAACATCAATGAGTCCAAATTTCAAACTTTGGCTCCAAAAGAAGGTTTGAAAACACAGAATAGTGGAGTTTTCTTAACCTCCAAAACATCATGTGTTGCAAGCAGTGTTGACGGAAATTTAAGGCAAGCAGAGTTACCATATTATGGGAAGTTAGAAGATATTATTGAGATTAATTACAATGGACGGTTCAAGGTTGTTCTTTTCAAATGTAAATGGGCTGATACGACTCGAGATAGAGGGTATCAAAAGGATCGTTGAAATTTTAATTGTGTTAATTTTGATAGATTGATTCATACTGGTGAACGTGAAGAACATGAGCCTTACATCGAAGCATCTCAAGCACAAACAGTGTACTATGTGGATGATATTGTCAATATAGGGTGGAGTGTTGCTATGCATCTAAAGCCAAGAGATTTATATGATATGGGAGAAGTAATGGAAGAACAAGTATATGAGAATGAACCATACCAAGAGCAAGAACTAGACCAATTTTTCGGTGATGGTGATGAGTATGTTCAGCTAGCTACAGATTATATAATTGATGATATAGTAGAGGCAAATTTTGCTACTAACCTAGCAACAGATGCAATGTCTGACTGAGTTTTACTGAAGATTTTTGTTAATTCTATTTTTTTATTGAAATTTTCTATGTTGATATATTTATTGGCTTTTAATGGATATGTTTGATTCATTAGAAAAAGATTGAACTTTTGATTGGAGAAAGATTTTCTTTTAGAGATTTCATTTTAAATTTCAAAGGACTTGATTATGATGAAATTGTGCATAGTTCTTTCTATAGATAAATTGTAAGTTTAGCCAAGTCTAGTTAATTATGGTGTTTAACTATCTGCTCAAAGCAACCACGAGCGACCAGGGAGAAAAAACATGTCTGCTCGAGGAGATGGACTGATATATCAGTAGTTGAAGACTTATTGTATGGCTATGAGGTTTGTGTACTTATTCTGATATTTGTTTAGAATGTTCATTAACTGTGAAATTCCTTTTCGAAAAATATATTGGAATCCTTTCCTTTTCGAATACATGTTATTTGATAATTGGACGGGTGTTTGCAATAACTATTCCATGTCTATAAGCAAGATTGTATTTCATCTTTAAAGAAGGTACGTAAGTCTCAGTTTGTGATCCCCATAATCCATTCCCTGTTTTGAATCCTCAACTACATAATAATGGTTCCAACTATGGTATTTCTCATAATTAATTTCTCACTATAGCTTCTGATATATCTGGACATGGTGAGATACATGACGTGAAAGGTGAGAAGGTTGTTGTAATTTATTATGATGGTGAAAAACAAACCATGGAAGAAGAGAAAGATGAGAAACCATCAATATCTTGCTCCTCTGGATTTTAACTTCCTTAATTTATTGGTGTATTGTTTTTTTAAAGGTCGTACTTTAAAGCTCCTTCATTTGATGTGGTATTTGGGAATAGTGAAGGTTGGCTACTAAGTTGCGGACGATATTGAGGAATCAAGATGTGCTTGAAGGTACACACATCTTCTACATTTTATTGGTATTAAGTCTATATTATGACCTGTTGAATTGATCTTATACCTATTTACTTATATTGCGCTCAGTATTACTTAATGATAAGATATCCTTGCTCGACATTTATTTTTTTAAAACCTAGTCAATCTATCGCATTTTACTTTTAAAAGGCCTCGAGATACTTAATACAAGCAAATAAAGCATAAAACAACCATAGTCAACATCAGGGGAGTTTTATCACATACTCGTAGTGCCTGTGAAAGAGTCAGAATAGCAAAAGGGTATCTGCACACAAGGTAAGTTATTTTTTAGTTTCATAAAGAGTAGTTTACACATGAAAATATGAAATAAATAGTAGCATAGTCTTGCAATGCTCATAAAGCATCTCTGGCAGCAATTTTGGAGGTGATAGCATCTTCAAATGATGATACCTCTAGTTCCAAATTAGATATCGTGTTAATGTTTGTGAATCTGGCCTGCTTTATTCTTTTTTCTGATTCCGTCAAGTCAATTTCATTGTCCTTTATGACTTTTTCTGTGGGCTACCATCTCATCAGTCGATAACTCAAGCATGTTGCCAAGATGTAGTATGTGTTGTCTGTGATACCATATATTTTAAAAGACTTCAAAATATGATAAAATCTCAAGTAGTTGAAAACATGCTCAAAATGGAGGGTTCACGAAGTCAATGAATCTCGTGATTTAGCTTCAAATATCTTGTGTGCTACTGTGAAAATAGATTAAAGTATAAAACAAACATAGTCAACATCAGAGGAGTTTTAGAGTTTTATCAAACTCGTAGTGCTTGTGAAAGAGTCAGAATAGCAAAAAGGGTATCTGCACACAAGGTAAGTTATTTTTCAGTTTCATGAAGAGTAGTTTACACCTGAAAATATGAACTAAATAGCGGCATAAGCTTGCAATGCTCATAAAGCGTCTTTGGCAGCACTTCTAGATGTGATGTCATCTTCAAATGATGATACCTCCAGCTCCAAATTAGATATCTTGTAATGTTTGGGAATCTGGCCTAGTTTATTCTTTTTTCTTATTCCGTCAAGTCAATTTCATTGTCCTTTATGACTTTTTCTATGGCTACCATCTCATCAATCGATAACTCAAGCATGTTGCCAAGATATAGTCTATGTTGTCTGTGATACCACATCTTTTAAAAGACTTCAAAATATGCTAAAATTTCGAGTAGTTGTAAACATGCTCAGAATAGAGGGTTCACGAAGTCAGTGAATTTCGTGATTTAGCTACAAATGTCTTGTGTGCTACTGTCAAAACAAGAAAAAATACATCTAGGATAAGTGATGAATTCAGAGATGCTACTTCTTGCTCTAGTGTTGTAGATTGCATTATGTCCAGTAGTTCTTTCTTCTGCAACTGGACTTGCCCATTTTTTCCAAGACATAGCTCCCTTTGACTGTAGTAGGCAGTTGGTGGTAAGTGTAAAAATGTTGAGTTTCATCAGTGTTGTGACTGTCTTTTGAGAGGAAATCTGCAGTACTATTAGCCTCTCTAAATGTCTTGCACTGGAAAAACTCAAGTTGGTTGATGAGTCTGTGAATGTCCTTGATCTGCTCCTGCAACTTCCAGGGAGGTTGGCTGCTGTATGTGCCATTTTGTAAGTTGCTTCGAGTGAACCTCTAAGATGATTCTTTTGTATCCATGTTATGTGCACCAGTATAAACCATGAGCTGCTGCCTGAACCTCTGCCAAGTTATTGGTACCAGTTCCTAAGGAAACAGTGTATGCATAAATCATGTCACCTTGTGAATCTCTAAAGATGCCTCCCCCACCTATTTTTCCAGGATTACTCAAGGCACTCCCATCAGTGTTAAGTTAAAAGGTGTTAGGTGGAGGTCTTTCCCAGTTAACTTTCCAGACCCTCAACTCATGTCTGCATCCTTCTATAAGCTTGAACAGATCAATCCAAGAACTAGGCCAGCTGATGTATGGATATACAGAGTGGAGTAAGTAAAACATAACTTTAAAAGTGAGGCACTTGACCCTTGCAACACTTGATTCCCCCCCCCCCCGCCCCATACCTTGCTAAACACCTATTTTTCCATAGGTTCCAGCAAATAAAGAGAGGAAGGGTGTGTGCTATGAGTTTTTGTACTTCATTCTTGCATTCAACATCCCACCAGGTCAGCAGAAGGTTTCTCAAGGAAGTATGTCTATGGTGAATACCAACCATAAAGAGAATTTGGTCTCAATATCCACCACTTACAATTAGAAATAGTGTTATACCTGATTTTGGTTCCTTATATATGAAACAATTTGGTAAGTTAGTCATGATAGAGATGTATCAATTCTGCATGTTCCCTGCAAAAGACTAGCTGATATAGAGGATATGCAGACCACATGTCTCAATCATCACTATTAAACAAACTATAATAAGTTTTCTTATAAACAGAGTTAAGCTTTGGTATAAAATATCAAAATCTAAGATGTCAACCAGCTGTGGTTAATTGGTGATTTTCAAGTTAGGATTTGTTACCTGGTAGTGGTTTAATGTACAATTGCTTTCATTAAAGGCACAATTATAAGTATATTACAGTCTGATTCTGGAAAAGCTAAAAGTATGTTTCTACTATTTATCTTTTGTGTTGCACTTGCAGAGTAGACCTCTATTCCCATGGAGACACTACTTTCAAAACACACATCGTCTCATCTTTGTGGTTGATAGAAATGACAATGACCATGTTGTTGAGGCAAGGGACAAGCTTCACAGGGTGTTAAATGAGGTACTTTTGAAATTACTATAGTTTTTTTTGGGGCATTAATTAAAGAAGATATATATTAACGACCAACTATTACATCCAAGAGCATGTGCCCCAAATTCCAAAGGACAGGCTCAAAAGGTTGCGATACTAGTAGGAGTAGTAGATGTTGAAACAGCAACAGTATTTACAGGCTCAAAATGGTAGGCTCCACACTGACTATTTCTTGACATATTCAATAAACTATGCAGGTAAGTACTTTCTGTTTTATCAGCCCGGGTGCCTCAAGTGTACATTTTGGATCATGCTAAAAAAACTTCCAGTGGAGTAGGTAGTGGGGATTGGGTACCCATGCACACTAACTTGTCAGCCACTAGTGGATTATACAGTGAAGTAAAAGCACTTGCAATCATTAATAAGATGTGAGTAAAGCTCATTTGGTGTTGTAAGCATCTGTATAACATCTAAGAAGTCTCCTTCAATTTGTAATGACCTTAGGTGGTAAGACTTGGCATAAAGTCCTTGCAGTAAACATGCATTTCAACAATAGTTATGGATTCTTTTGGTATTGTTCCAGCAAGTCGGGAATCCAATCACTCAAAGTTAAATATTTGTTCAGTCTATTTTGTTAGTTCAAGCAGTCATATGTGAATAATTTTATTCCTTTCTTATATTTTGTTATTTCTTTAACTCTAGACCACTCATAGTCATGTTTAAGTCTCCTCTAGATTATTTGATTTTGTAGGTAAGCTTTGCTGGAATTTTTGAAGACCCCGAAAGTAAGCATACATGTCAATGGGATTTTGCATAGGTCCTATGCATAAAAAGGATGTCATGAAAGCTAGTGTTATGCTTGAGAGGAAGAAAGAGCTGTATGCAACCATCTTGGCCTTTGATGTTAAAGTGACACAGGAAGCTCGGGAACTTTAAGATGAACTTGGTGTCAAGGATTTTATGGCTGATATTATATATCACTTATTTGATTAGTTTAGAGTCTACATTGACACTATCAGGGAAGAAAAAAAAAGAAGGAAGTTGCTGAAGAAGCAGTCTTTCCCTGATTGTACCGAATTGTGTCTTCAACATGAGGGAAAATATATAATTAAATTTTAAATAAAAAGTAATTTTCAGTAGCAATAATATTTGTGGTAGATATAAGCTGCCACTAATTATTTATTTTAATTTATTCGTTCATATAATTGAATTTCAAATGGAAATAAATTTTCAGCAATAAAAATATGAAGGCGAAATGAAACTGTCATTAATTTTTTTTTCTAAAACATTTAAATCATATTGTAGCGGTCGAAAACTTCCACGTAATCTTTTTTTTAAAAAAAATTGAAATTATGTTGTGGAGTTTTATAGACCCCCACAATTATTTTTTTGGTAACATTATGATATATTATGGGAGTTTAAATACTCCCACAATATTTTTTTCGAAACATCATTATCATATTGCGAGGGTTCTAAACTGCCATTGATTAATTTTAAAACCCCCCACAAATTCAAAATTCATTTTGTGGCATAC